ATAAATCACTGGAATAAGCGTGGTTGAACCCATTGGCAAGAAGGCTAATCATCCAGGTTTGATGCCCATAAGAGTGGTCCTTGCAAGCCAATCCAGCCGAATTCCGATGACTTCGATACGCTACTCGTATCGATGTATTCACTGGAAATGGTTCTATTTGTTTGTCTTTCGCTTGTACAGTACAACTCATCAAGTAATCCCCTGAAACTTTTAGATTTGAGTTATAGGTATCTGGCTAGTACTTTTTATGCCGCAGACTGTTACCTATAATCTAATTTGCCTGCCTAATCCATATCGACAAACCACCTAGAACTGCATAGTTTTTAAAGCAAATGGTTTTCTGGTGATAAATGTGATGAATGGACAAGTTCAGTATAACACATCCTTTCTTTGATATTGCTTTACATATCACTTGGGTAGTAAGGAACTGAATTCTCCAGCAGAGCCCCACACGTTTGAGCACCGTCAAGAAAAACGCTGTCATTATGCTTTTGAACCAATTCGCTGTGCAGACCGCATAAGTGGTATACGATATACGACCCATGCGCTGTGCAAACCCCACAAGGAGTATACCACCCCGTACGCTGTCAAGTTTCTCTGATGTATGCATGCATTTCTGTGGGCAGGGCAATGACCTCGGGTACGGTAACAACGTCTGGGATTGGATAATCGGCAGCCAAGTAGTAAGGTTGAGCACAAGCTCTGCCCATAGATGCAGATTAGGATTTAGAAACCTTGACATTCCCAAGTGATTTGCTCTTTGCATAGCATTTACATAAGGAAACGCAGCAGAGATATCCACTCGTTGCAAAACTAACTCGGTGACACCTGCTTGGTGCCATCTTGTATCCATTTCTTAAGGTTCCACTGCTGGACATATTCTGTAATGAGATAAATCTACACAATACGGCAAGGCCTGGGTTACTTCATGTACTGCCCTCGTTCTGAGACACTTTAAAAATGCAGCCAAGTCAATCAATTCCCCGGTCAAGCTCAGCAGTGGTTCGCGACGAGGACCCTCGCTCTGAGTGTGTTTAAAAATACAGCCCAAGTCGATGAATTCACCGGTGGAACTCAGCAGTGGTTTGCGGCGAGGACGCTCGTTTCCAGACAGTAAAAATACAGCTCAAGTCGATGAACTCACCGGTCGTGGTTGAATTCCAATCATTCACACAAAAGGGCGAGTAATTCGTATGGCGCCCGTTTACATGTCTAATTCACGAGTTGTAGTTATACCCATTTACATGTAGGATATTGGTTCCAATGAGCTTGGTAGATCGGAAATATGGCTACTGGAGCCCATCGTAAAGGGGGACCTGATTGTAAATAATCGTAGTTATTTTGGTTGTCTAGTAGCAGTATAAGTCAATATTTGCAATCAGGTCTGCGGATGTCCCGCGACTAAGATGGAGCGCGATTTGGGGTAAAGTATAATTCGCTTGACCGGTAGGTTACTGACGATCTGCATTCTGATATTACGAGCCAGGAAAGTGAACCGCTCTTGGTTGAACTAGCGAGAGGCATCGAAGCATCGACTTTAGTTATAGGAAAGCGTATAATTCAAATGGAACGACTTGACCGGGAAGTACATTGACTTTAGTTGTGGAAAAGCGTATCATTCCAATCGAACCGCTTGATCGCGGAGTTCGTCATCGACTTTAGTTTTAGGAAACATTCTTGACTTTCCCAGAAAAGTTCAGCAGTGGACTGCTTTCGCACGCTTTGATGATGGTTGAGAAAAAAAAAGATTCTTGACTTTCAGAAATGGACTGCGG